GTATAAAAACCTAATCTAAGCAGAAGCATTGGACAATTTCCTCTCCCATTTCCATGTAAAATCCAATTCATATTTCTGAGCTCAAAAGCCAAAAATAATCATAAATCATATATATATATCCCTAATATGCAAATAGACCAAACGGTGGAATAACCGAACAACCGGTCGCTATGACATGCGCTGACCACCAGGGAGCATGCGCGGAACATAGTGGGTGTCGGCAGCAGGCGGAAGAGTGCAGAACATGGCAGGCATCAGCCATGGTGGAATGGTGGAGCAGGTGAGCGGGTGCGCTAGCCAGGGGTGGGCAAACTTTTTGACTCAAGGGCCACAATGGGTTCTTAAACTGGACCAGAGGGCCGGAACAAAAGCATGGATGGAGTGTTTGTGTGAACTAATATAAATTCAAAGTAAACATCATTACATAAAAGGGTACAGTCTTTTTTTTTTTTTAGTTTTATTCATTTCAAACGGGCCGTAGTTTGCCCACGGCTGCGCTAGACCAAGGCGAGGTGCTGGTCGCTGTCATCAGGGCGAGCCTCTGGTGGTTACTGAAAATTCTTTGTTCCTGCGTGCTGTGGTCCCACCCAGCGCTCACACCTGCTGCCAGTACCGGCCCTGCTCGTACCCACGGCCAGTGCCAGAGCTGCTGCTCGCACCCGCTGCCGGCGCCTAGTGCTAGCCCTGATCGCTTGGCACTGTCAGCAGTGTGAGCGGCGACGGCCACCCCTGATCGCCCGAGGGCTTCTCCACCTTCCTCTGCTCCTGAGGGGCGATTGGGGCAGCAGGCCCCGCTCACACCCGCTGCTGGCATTGGCCCCAATCGCTCCATGTTGTCAGCAGGTGCCAGCGGGGCCGGTGCCGTCAGCACATGGGAGCAGCGGCAGCGGAAGTTGGGCTGTCAGCAGACAGAGGACAAGGGCCCGTGGCAGGCGGGGCCGGGTGGGGATGCAGAGGATGGGCCAAGACCCGCCCCTGTACCCACTACAGCCTTGCAGTCCAGAGTTCCATTCAAGGTGCACGAATTCGTGCACTGGGCCCTTAGTGTATATATAATACATACAGGCATTTAAGATTTTATTCTTATTACATATTTGAATTCTGAAAGCTTTGTGGAATGTACCATAAACCTGAAAAATGTCTAGCATGGATCAATTACATGTCAAGTAAAACAAATTTTATTGGTGAAGCTGATAAACTATCATGACCACATAATCCACATTTTACTGCATTTATTTGGCTTTTATCACTGGACTATTTGTTGTGAAGACGAACATCTTCCTCAGTATATTTTTCATCTCGAATGTCACGGGTAGAGGTTCTGTCTTTTTATTAGCCTTATTTAACACCATGCATAATAAATTCCAAGTATATTCAGGAACAATAGACTCTGAGTACAAACTGCTCAGACTACCCAGTATCTGGGTTTTAACTAATGTCCTAGAGCAGAGAAGGGTATTTCTACAAAGGGAGACCATCAAATACAGCAAGTGGCTCATTGTTGGGTGTTGTCCAGAAAGCAACCTGTTGAATTTTAAAGACAGGAGACTGGCTTTACCTTTCAGGGAGAGACTGGTTGGCTCCCCCAGTGACTAAATGCCTAATGCAAAACTTCCCTAAAGCATCAAACTCCTCTTTGGACTCTGTTTTTGGACTTTTACTAACTCAAAGGAAAATATATTTCTGATTTGGTACAGGGGATAGTCTGGATAGTACTTTGATAACACTGCTTTTAACTCCATTTTGAGAAAGAGTTGAACTTAAGATAAAATAACACCTGGGGGTGCACTGGGATCCAGGTAGAGAGGAGCAAAGGGGGGCCAACAGGGGGTACATCTATAATACTCTCAACAATAAAAAAATTTTTTTTTATATTTTTTAAATATATTTTTATTGATTTCAGAGAGGAAGAGAGAGGGAGAGATAGAAACATCAAT